TTACATAAAATCCGTCTAAAATCGGGTATTTTTTTCGTTTCAGAAATTCACGACAATCTTCGCAGGGAAGCTTTTATCACGCCGAACTATTACCTTTACAAAACCACCATGAATTTTCTACTTTCTCTGAGCAAGTTCCCACTTCCGCTTCTTTCCCTGTCCGTGGTCCTGCTACAAGTCGACCCACTTTTCTTGATCATGACCTGGTCGCCTGCATTCCTCGTGTCCCTAATATTTTTCAGGATTCGTGCCATATTTACGATCATTTTCATAAATCAGTTACTTCATGCGGTCAATTTTTTCTTTATCTTCGGCCTCATTGTGACATGTTCAGCAAACGAGGCGATAAATTCGCTGCGTAGTGTACACTTCTTCAAAGGAAGAAAATTAACCTGGCGAAGAAAAATTTTGCAAATTCGAGAGATAAAACTTTTTCGCCAACTATCAATCTGGCTTGATTTTTTAAATATGAATATCTGCAATTTTGCGGTACCCCCACTTACATTTTTTGGGGTTTCGTTCCTTATTTTTGGGCTTTTTGGGTCAATTCGGATGCTGGGTCGGGTCGAGTTTGTGGTATATTTAATAGTGCCGATTTCAACGCTGATCGCCACTTTTTTCCTGGTTATGTTGCTACCCGAGGTGGCGGGAGTGTGCGAAGGGGGGAATGAATATTTATGTAAGATAAGAAGGAAATTGGGGGGGATGAGGTGGGAAAAAAGGATTGTGAGATCGCTGAGGCCGTTGGGAATTCGGATTGGACAATTTGGCCTGGTCAGGAATAACTTGATGAAAACTATTGTATCAGCTTGGGCAGAGAATACGATGTCGTTGTTGATTATGTTTTAGTGTGAAGTTTGTACGTGATGTAAATATGTATTTAAAAAATGAATAAATCCACTGATACATATTTAAGAGTGGGGTTTATTCACAAAAAAATCATGTAACCTGTCAAAATAAAAATTAATGGAAGTCATCGAAGTCGAAAGTGTAAAGTATGTACGGCAAAGAAAGGACATGTAAAATTCTACTCTATGCTGCTCAATGTTTTGACCAATTTCATACCAATAAGAATTTTTCGCATTGTAATCATCTTCTAGCCGCATAAATTAATTTCATTGAAATATTTCATTTCTATCGTTCTAAAATATATCCGTATTTTTGTTATGCCTGTAAAAAAATTTATTCCGTTAAGCATTCAATGAATTTTGATCAAATCCCATGCAGCGTAAAAGCTAAAGTATAATTGTTCAATGATAGTTTTCCTAAGATTAAAATATGGGTAGTTGTTTACATTGCAACCACGGCAGATTTTCTGCAATATCTTTTGGTAGAGGAATTAACGAGGAAGTCGTTAACCCCCTTTCCTTTGTCCTTCTGCAGCAGCTCCTGGCATAGGCCAGTATAGCTATACTGTGAAGCACATCATGGTATAATGGTGCACTGTGAAGCGGTATTGATAAGTAATACGCTGTAGGAATACAAGCTCGACAGTATCTAAAGTTTTACCATATCAGTCAAAGTTTTTCATACCGGAAAAATTTTAATCCCAAAGGGATAACGATAATCGATAGCAACTTTAATACTGAGAAATCGATACCTGCCTGACGATCCCAGATTTTAAGTGTATGTATGAATTTGTTGCGAATTTCATAAACAAGCAAGATGTTTTATTTCGATGAGAAAATGTGCACCGAATGTTTCGAGAAGTATCGGCAATTCATGCATTCATTTTTGATGGCCAAGTTCTAACAATAATTTTGAAATTGTGAAAATGCTTGTACATCTCAACCATATTCGAAAGGTTTCCATTGGCTCGTAGAATTTTTAACTTACCTGATTTGCTTGACAAGATAAACTAGTAGATATGTATGTAACAAATAATAATTATTGTCCAATGTCTGGACCAATTACACATGTAGATAGCTAAAAATATAAAAATATTTGAATGAAAAATTTAACTGCAAAACCGACAAGTTGGTGTATGTATGAAATTTTTAGCCACATTACCCGCATAATTTATTTGTACATATGTACATACGTATTTGAATTATATTTAGTTGACCGTTTGTGTATGTAACAAACAAAAGATAAGTCAATCAAATTATGGAAACCAAGAATTTTCGGTGTGTAAATACGTTTGCATATTTTGAAATTTTATTAATTGACCGATATATCCGTAAATAATTGTACATGAAAAAACAGTACTCATGATGAATGATTTTAAAATTTGGAATTCTGAAAGTCTAATGTTTAGAAAATGTTACCACAAATTGTCCAACTCGTTTGCTACCGTACCACGTATAACCATAACCAGGAATTACAACGCCATCAACACAACTGTTGCCCTACACAAGGGTCAGGTTGAGGAAAGTCCTTTGCGTTACGTGAAATAGCAGCCTCATGACCCGCAAATCGTTGCATCTAATGAATATAATTAATAAATTGTGATCAAATATCTGCAATGTTAATTAATTTAATTGGTGCAAAATTCCCCCTTAGCAAAAAATATAGCGTAAAACTTTAAACTTACTCTCGGATGTGCAGAAAAATATCCTCCAAAGTTAGCAGGATGTTCTTTGTCCACTGGTCCAGCAGCAGCAACGTAGGCGATGGGGACAATCAAGACAAGGGCAAGGAGAATAGCCTTCATTTTACCAGATTTTTGTGAAAATATTACGATTTGAGGAAAATATTGGAGTTGAGATGCTGATTGTCTTTTAGCAATGATTTAAACTGGAATGATTTTCATAGCAAAACTTATTCCCTTTTTATATCGAATTTTGGGGATAAAACTGGATTGTTTTCGGATTGGGATGTGACTTTAAATTAATTGTTTTGCTAGAAAATTTGTAAAAATTAGGCAATTAGTCTCGTTTTGTCAGAAGGCGAGGTTTTCCCCATAAATTAGTGAACACGGGATTGGCGAAATCGGGTCTTACAATTAGATATGACTCTACCAAAGTGAAAGAACTATCGTGTAGTAATAGCGCGGTATTAAAGCTTTTAAGGATCGGTCACGATAGTATGACACTCATCTAATAAAATGCTCATAACTTAACACACAGATAATACAATTTCAAAAAAAGTTACATATGTTTACTACCAAAGGGTCTGGATTGCCATACAGTTCAAATTGTAATGATTCAATTCCGGTATCTGCTACAGATTGCATTTTATTCTTCAGATTTTGCATCAAATTCCGCCCATAGACTGCACCTACTTTCAAGCTGATTCTCTTCCATCTGTTCTTAAATTTTCGTAAGGTGTCTGGCGTTTCTGAAAGCTTAGAATATTTGGACTTGGTCAGCGCTCAGAATTTCTCAATTGGTCGCAGTTGAGGAAAATTTGGTGGGTTTTAATTTTTTGGCACAAGTTCAATTTTTTTTTCAGATGTCGGTACTGAGTGACCTTTTTGGCGTCATGGGACCTTGCGAGGTCAGGCCAAAACAAAACTTTATGTTTTTATGATCTTTGGTAATAAACGATTCCAATCCCCCTTTAATGCATGATTAAAGATAAACCCCCTGGTTTACAGTACCCTAATGTGCTACCGCCGGTGGCCTGGCTGCCTCTATTAATGAGTAGTCTGGTCACCCCACAAAGTACATACATTACAGTACCCTCCAAAATGACGGGATCGGAACATTGACCAATGCTAGACATGCGTTGCCAAATTCGTCATTTTTTGGGGAATTGGTCTTTCTTTTGAACTTTGTCTTCATATTTTACTTCACACGGGTTGGTACTATGTAAAAAATTCCTTCGTGGAAGATTTGAAGGGTCAGCTGTGACGTGGGGCTCATCGCCCATGATGACCACTTTTCCCCGAATCTTCTTCAACAATTTCTTCCAGCACGCATGAATCCCTTCCTTTTGTGTTGGTTTGTAATTTGGTGCTGGTTTTTTTGCCCTGCCTATAATCCCTAGTTTATGGACTTTGATTTTGCTCAGATAGCTTTTTGAAATCTTGACCTTCCTTGTCGTGGCAGCCGTTGCCGTTGATGAATGATTTTTGAAAAATTTTTTTATCCGATTTTTGACTTTTGTCGCCGATAGCTTTGCAGGTCGACTAGTGGGGAATTTGAATTTGACGTCATTGGATTCCTCGTACTTTTTTATGTATTAGTTGATGTTGGATTCAGAAATACCTTTTTCTTTAAAAAAATGCCAAGTAGTTTTGGAATCACTGTTTGCTTCATTTTTATGAAACTCAATTCCTCTTTTTTCCAACTCTTGCCTTTCAACCCAAGTTTTTCGAGTGTCAGCCATGACTGGATAATTGGTGACATATATCGATGGAAAGCTTATAACTTGGTCTATTAAAAAATAATTTTTTCAAAATTTAATTTCGCTGTGTTCCCGCCTAGCGCGCCTTTGACGGGGCAGTGTCATACTATCGTGACCAATCCTTATGTACAATATAGATAGTCAGTTTTAAGGACCAGTAAAATTAAAATACCAAACGGATGCTAGTTTGATGCTGAGAAATAAATATTTACCTGCCTGACTATACCAGATTACTCACAGAGCATTTGTATTTGAATAAAAATGTGATAATGACCTTGATTTGGTAACAAGTGTTTCACAAAAGTTTAGAGAAACTCGTCACGCGATTTATGCACGGTCCCTTATCTATTAAGGTTGCCCACTCACTAGAGAAATACTGATGGCTACCAGGTTCACAAACTTTTCGATGATTGAACCCTCATACTTTTCAAAAATTCTGGTCCCTTTCACAATTCCCGGGCAACACGCGTAGCATTTAATTCTCCCTTTTTCCCGGTTGGCCAACTCTTTTGAAAAGAGCGCCATCGCCATTTTTGAGTTAGAGTAGGGCAGCAAATTCCAAAATATGCTTTGACCTACATACATAGATAGGTGTACGTGACCTATTTGTGACCGTGATCATTCTCTAAAGTTTGGGGACTTTAGGTCAACACATGAAAAAACTCATATTTTATTCATATTCGACATATACTAGTACATATTTGCATCTTTCTTAACATACCGGTTGAAAACCTACTTAGAAATTAAAATCTCCAATTCTACACGTTACCACGATCCGGCTTACTGCTTTCTTCACATTCAACAAGACTAGCACTTAGGTTCCAGACTGCTTTGACATAATCGTCCTTTAAGAGGGCTTCCCCAGATGAAAATCTTTCCTCAAAACGAAAAAACTGCCCAGACTTTGAAGCAGTTTTATGTCCCAGGGCACAATAAAGGATTGTGTTGGCGCCCTTGTAAATAAAAATAACGAAAGTGATATGTAAATACGAGTGTTTAAAAGTTAGCACATATGTAAATTAATGAATTAGGCATGAAGGAGTGACACACTGGAACAGATCCAGTATTGGTATAATACCGAGTTGTATTGATACTATAACTATCAAAATGGCACGATATTTCTGCATTGTCCGTTATCTATTAGGGTTATCCACTCACCATAGGAATACTGATTGCAACCAGGTTCACAAACTTCTCAACGACTGAACCCGCGTACTTTTCAAAAATTCTGGTTCCTTTCACAATTCCCGGGCAACACGCGTAGCATTTAATTCTCTCTTTTTCCCGGTTCGCCAACTCTTTTGAAAAAAGCGCCATCGCCATCTTGGAATTGGAGTAGGGCATCACATTCAAAACTCCACGCCCTCTTCCCTTACGTCCCATAAAATCGTCTAGATTCAAATTTGCATACATCATCATGGTCGATGACACCATGACGACGCGGGCCGACTCGGACCGGCGTAACTGGGGCAAGAGTAGATTCGTTAGGAGGAAGTGGCCCAAGTGGTTGACGCCCATGTGCTCCTCAAACCCGTCAACGGTCTTCGTCAGGTGGCTCGAGTTTAACGAAATTCCGGCGTTGTTGATGAGAATGTCGATTTTGGAGTATCTTTTTGTTAATGTAGAAGCAAATCTGCGTACCGATGATAGATCCGAGAGGTTAACGTGGACAAGGTCAAGGTCGTCAGGGTCACAGTGAGATTGTTGGATAATGTCGAGTTTTGCAGCGTTGCCTTGAGCCAAGTCAGGTACAGCTGAAAAAAAATAAAATGGGGGTATTCGTTAACGACTTTGCTGGCAACGTTCGCTAAAAATAGAGTTCGCAAGTTCCTTAAATAATTTAGGGTGCAAATTCATTTGCGAACTTGCGCATCATCAAGGTTTGTATTTAGTTCGCGAATTTTATTTTCAAAACTAGGTAGGTAGGTAAATTTATTAATGCTCGATTGATGTGGCCGCGGCCTTTACAATCATATATAAAAGAAGTTTTATAAATTTATTTAAATAATTATCTTCAAAACTATGTTTCAAAACAAACCTGAAACAAATACCTCCAGTGTTAAAAACATGTGGTAAAAATTTGCCAATAATTTTGCCCATATGTTGTTTAGCCAAAGTCAGAATTTCTCATGAATAAATATTTATGTACGTACCCATAACAACTTTGGCACCCCTTTTGACCATTTCATGCGCGACGTACTTCCCTAGACCGGTTCCTGCTCCGGTGATTATGACAACTTTTCCGAGCACGGATTCCTCGCCAAATTTCCGGAGTGGGAGTAAACGGTACATAATTTGCAAGACGAGGAACTCGACCCCCATAAATATGAGGCGAATAATGGACGCGTGCATACCCCACATTTCTAATTATTATATTTTTATTTTCCGCTTCAATGTTTAGGATAAGAATTTATTTTCAGATTGGATCACTTTGTAGGAATGAATGCTTAGAAAATCCTGTGTCGTGATATGAGACCAAGTTTTTAGTTAGTTTGTATATACATATTCATAAAGTTATACTCCTGAAATTGTAATTAGGAATCGTTATTTATTTCTGCTAATAAAAAATAAGTATGCTGCAACTGAAGTGTTTCTGCTCGATTTAACTGAACCAATTAAAATAATATTTTCGCAAAGTGGCATCAAATCCCATGTGCAATAAAATAATTCTCACGCAGTCATGAATTTTAATTACAGTGCGTAAACTACCTGGATCAATTGTATTGTCTTTTTCCGGCTGGGAAGGAATGAAATGGCATGCTGTAAAGATGTATATATATAATAGGCAAGACTTAAGGTTTAATTGGAGGAAAACATTAAAACAATTACGGCCTGATATTAGGAAATATTTAGCAATACCTGAGGGGACATATGTACATATGGAAAATACAAAGGTACATAGTTAGATATTCACTTTCTCAGGGGTGTGCACATATATACATTTCATACATATTTGAGCAATTTCATCTCAAATAAATGAAAAATTTGTGCACACCTATGTAATTCCAGGTTCAGGCTACGTACATATTTAGTGACCTACCCCAAATACCTAGTAGAGTAGCCTTGTCTAAATAACAGCCAGGTCCAAGTTTCCAATTTTATTAATAGATAGTTACCCCTTAAGTTTTTAAGGTAAGAAGCGTAATTAACGTCAGACATAATAAAGGTATATCGTCCGACAGGTTATATATGTTTCTTATTGTTAGCCTAGCAATAAATTATATAACCTGTCGGACGACCTAACCTAGAAATGCTAGGTTAGGTTGTAACTTATCGAATGCGTGGCAGAAATTCCTATAACAATTCAATGGACATATTTAGATTTGAGGAGTTACATATGTGCATATTCCAAGAAAATATTTCTTATTCAAACACTGCAATTAATCTGTCCAAGATTTTTGATTGAATTGAAAATATTTCGAAATATCAGAAGAAAAACATGACTTGTACTTCAATTAAATACATCACCAAAGTTACGTAAACAAGTAATTTATCGGGATATAAATGATACCTTAATTGACAACCATTTCATATAAATATGCGATATGCCTATTCACGCCACGCAGAAATACGTAATCAGTACACACTTAAATCATGATAGAATTTTTCAATCGGAAATTTGTTACCTATTTCATGAAAGGCTTACAGCTCTGTGCATCTTTGCCTCTAAATAATCTATTGAAATAGACCATATTTTTAAACTAGTTTGGCTTCCATATGAAGCTTCGCAGCAACTTGTTGTGCTCCGCTTGGGAATAAGTATCTTGCTGAGTATGCAAAAACTATCCGGTGTTCCATAAGGTTTTATATCGATTCGTGCAATCAAAATTTGTATTGATTAAATACGTCTGTTTTGTATGGGAACGAGGAGCTACAAGCATGGTTTTTAAATGTGCAATTCCCTTGAAATTATCAAATTTCGGACAATGTGGTTTAAAAATTATTTGAAAAACTTATTACATCCACCTGCATCAACGTCTTATATTCCCGTAATATCCACGCTATCCAACTGGTCCACCGCATTATACCCTATTCCCATACTGGTTGAAAAATCTGGGGTAATTCGCCCCATGAAAACGTCCCTTGAGTGGGGTCAGTTTATCTTCTCGATGCTAAATCTGACCCTCCACTCTGTCATATTCATAGTTTGGATGTTGAGAAACGTTTTCTTCCACAAAATCATCCCTCTTCCGGTTTGGAAGCAAGTGATGATGTGGTACTTTTGTATTATTATCGTTACTGTGATAATCTGTCAAGTCATAATTATGTTAAGAAAAGAAGAGTGTCTCATGCTGCTTTGGACCCCGATCAAGATGGAGAATTTTTGTCGGGTGAAATATGGTAAGAAGCCCAGCGTTCAAGATAAGTACTCAGGATGGACTTTTCACGTGAAAACGACTTTTGCTTGAATTTCGCTCAAGTTAAGCTCGATTGGTACTCAGATGTTTAACCGAAACTTAAATATTTGAAGTTTTTACCTGCGAGCAATTTTAACATCGAAGCTCGAGTTATACCAAGTTCAGAAGTACTAGGATTTTCAGGCGGAACTATCTCCAAATTTCTTTTTAGCTTGATACAATACCATTTGGTTATTAAGGCTGCTAATGCAAAATTGAGAAAAATTAAATCTACATATTTTTAGCGAAATATGCGGGGTATTTCTTACAAATTTCGTTCAAGCGCGTTTCAAGATTTCAGCAAGTTGTCGTAAATCGCTTGAAAAATCGTCCCCTATACCAGGCTTAATATTTTCCTGGGAACTTCCTCAACCATACAAATACAAATATATTTCTTCGTAATTTTTAGATGCTACATCCTACACCAAAAAACTAATCCTTTGGGTTGGAGAACTAGTCAAGATGTCAATGATTTCAATAGGGTTGGCAGTTTTTGTCCTCAGCGGGGTCATGCCGTGCTGCCCTCCCATCGTCACGGCACTAACGTTGCCCGAGTGCGCGGGGGTGTGGACTAAGAATATTGTAGGAGTTCCGTTCTGGTTGAGGATTCCACTCGGGATTTGGCAGACGTACACTTGGCTGACCTTGCACAACATGATGGTCATTTTGCTATTACATCTGTCACTGTATGCGGCAGAAATGATGGGAGTTTGGCTTGACGGGGTGGAAAAGTAAGTAAAGATCTTGCTGCCATGATTTATACGCTTGCATTCATTTACTCAAATCAGAATGAATAAATTATTCATTCATTACTGAATATACTTGTTCGTGTGAATATTGTTCTCAAAATTTTTGAATGAGTGAATATTAAATTAATTCTTGTTCATTTCATATTCATGAAGAATGAATTAATACCATTTACTAATTAATATTCATTTTTCATCCTATGCTAAAGACATGGGGTATATTGAGAAATCAATCGAATTCGACATAAAACTGACAAAAATATCTAGATGTGTAATGAACAAATATGTACATATTTTCAAGTTTTGAATACATAAGTGAATAATGAACGTATATTTTTATCAAATTTTTTAATTTAATGAAGAAATATTTTTTGAACATGTATGGTACGAGTATGTAATGAGTTGAATAATATTTCTATTTTGCTAGGGAAAGCTTGAAATCGTCTCGGAATATAAAGTCATACCGAGTAACGCAAGTTGCGGAAAAAATGGTGAACCACTTTTGGAGGAAACCTCTCATGTCGGTCGTCATGTTGGCGATTATCATCGGGGAAACGTCCGCGCTGTACATCTTGATAACATCGGCGACAAAATTACCGCTGCCAATTCTCGTCGGTTTTACCATGGTTGGAGTAGATCTCTTTGTAGTGATTCATATCACATTCCGAATTCTCAGCTTGCCTCATTCAGCCTCGGAAAAATTGATGGGAAAAATGAAACTTTTGCAGAAAGGGAGGGATTCAGCTTGGTTGAAGCGGTTCGTGAGGTCGTGTCCTTCTCTGAAAATTGGGATGGGGGACGGAACATTTTTTGACAGGCTGACTCCATTCATTATTTGGCAGTTTTGTGTGGACAGGTTAATTAGTATGTTGCTACTGAAGTAAAGAGGCAGACAGAAAAATGCTTTTAGATATATGTTGCGGAAGTTTTCAAGCAAATCATAAAATTAGAAAAATAAAATAAGTATAGTAGAAAAGTTGAAATGTTACTCGTGACCACAACTAGATGATTTTCAGGAAGGAGGAGTTAATAAAAATTCGAGTTGTCAAAACAGTGTTGTGGAATTATCGTTGTGGTTCACTTCACTTGCATATGCACATATATGTAGAATGACTAGAGTTTATTCAACATGGTAAATCCTATAATTATCGAAAATGGGCAAAGTGAGATATATAAAAATGAGGTGACCCGCAAAAAATAATTCCACATAGGTATCGCTTGTGAGAAAGCTTAAGGCATATGTACCTACGATGGATACAAACATCCATAAATTACTAGATCAGTGAAATTTTGATATGAACAAGAAGGTTCCATGTGAAATTGCATAAAACACCTTTGCATAATTTCCTTATGGCATAAAATTTATTCCATAATTTAATTTAATTTAATTTATTCATACAATAAGGCACCCTACTATGTAGGACATTACACCTCAAGGATACATTCACATTACAAAGTATAAAATAAGTATTTAAATATTTATAATAGTATATTTTCAAATTCATAATCGTCAATCAAATCAAAAATTTCAATCATTCTTTCACATAATTGTTTCTCAATAAGTATACGTTTTGTTTGTAGTTTAAATACATCAAAGCTAACATGTTTCGCTGAAGATCGCACTTTCTCTGGTAAATTAAGCCAAGCTTGCATAGCATGATATCGAAAAGATTTCTTTCCAATTGTTGTTTTTGGACATGACAAAGGCTTGCAATAAGTATTATTTCTAGTATTAAAGTTAAGACCTTCAAGGTTTAGGTAATTTATAAAAAATGTTGGAGCACATTCATTTATAATTTTGTATGTAAATTTGGCCAATTCAAAGCTAACAATATTTTTTGCTACCATCCAACCAAATTCGTTTACATCGTTACTAATAGTATCATATTTTGATTTACATGTAACAAATCGTGCACATGCACGAATAATTTTGTTGACTGTATTTTTGCATTCTTTTCCAACCAACCAAATAATACATCCATAAGAGAAAATTGAGTGCACCAAAGCTTGCATAATCATACATTTTTGTTTTATGGTTAAAACATATTTGAGAGGATAAAGTGTCCATCAAGATGAGTAACATTTTTTTGCTACCATTTTACTATGTCCAATAAAACTTAGGTTTTCGTCGATAATAATACCAAGAATTTTGATTTCGCTCACCTTTTCTAGTAACTACAACTTACCATAAGAGAGCTTTTACATAACTCCATTTCACATAATAAGTTAAAATTCACGATTGGCCATAATCTTGCATGCAAAGGCTAATGTACCAATAGAATCTAATGTACCCAAGGTGTTTTTTATGATGTTTAAGCATTTATGGATGATAAAAGTTAATATATAATTTTGTATCTCCGGTAGTCTGAGATACAAAAGGATTCAAATTCAGAGTAAAAATTAATTTTTGACAGTACCGTACCAACCGTGGTATATGGTGGTACGAAATACCAGGCCCGGGGCCTGCAAGGGCCCGGGCCAGGTCGCTGCCTTTACACTAGATATAATGGACTTTTTTGAGTATTGAAGATTTTACAAAAAAAATATTCCACGCAAATAAATTTGCTTACATCTAACACTAAACTGCTAGATCTTATTTGTTGTTCATGTTCAATTATTTTTGTATGAATTTCATTGGCTTCCACTTTTGTATGAATTTAGAGCTAACGTATCTACAATTTTTAATTTTAATATTTGGCTTTCGAATTTTAATTAAATGTTAAATCATGATTTTAGCTGAAACTTCATTCAGAAATTAAGCTAAAAAAGAAATTAGGTTCAAGAGAACCTAAAAGTATGGGTCGACTTATTTCTGAGCTTGAGCAATTTAAAACTTGTGACTTGTAGGGTAAAAATCGGAGAGGATGACTTCATGGCTACCAATTTTTAGTTACAATTTCGACATATGCAATGCTACACATTATACTTATTTTGTGAGATTGTGGGGAATTCTGTGTATGAAAAGAGTTACTATCTACATTATTACCTAATTTCTTGAAACCGAAAACATGCGAACTTTGCAAAAATTCAACGTGAATAAAGCAAAGATGCTTTTTGGCAACTCAAATGTTCCTTGATAAGGGACAAATTTAACTTAACCCAGGGACAAACTTAGGTAAATATGAACTTAGGACCCTTAACTGACAATACGATGGCGCCAGCGGTCTCACTCCGATTTTAACAAAACCACGACAAGTATGGAGCCTTTGGCAAATAATAGAAAACGTGTTTCAGGACTTTTCATAATGCTCACAATGAGGAGGTGTCAGGTGGTTATCGCCAATGTAAACCGGACTAATTTTAAATTGTTCAGGCCCAGAAATAAGCCCACCCGTATTTTTTCGTTTTCCTGAATGGGCATATTTACGCCCGTGGCGGAATTTTCAAAAAAAATTTCAGCCAAAATCTTGATTTTTAAAAACGCTGTAACTTTTCGAATTTTAGCCCGATTTCAAAAATTAAATACAATTTGTGTTCAGAATTACTTCCCTGAAAATATAAAAATTCATTTTCAAAATTTTTTTAAATTTAATATTTTCATGCCATTTCTGAGTTTTTAGAAATGAAAAAAACGATAATTTTTTGAAAATTAGAAAATTTTTGAAAATGAATTTCAGCCCGATTTCAAAAATTAAATACAATTTGTGTTCAGAATTACTTCCCTGAAAATATAAAAATTCATTTTCAAAAATTTTTTAATTTTCAAAAAATTATCGTTTTTTTCATTTCTAAAAACTCAGAAATGGCATGAAAATATTAAATTTAAAAAAATTTTGAAAATGAATTTTTATATTTTCAGGGAAGTAATTCTGAACACAAATTGTATTTAATTTTTGAAATCGGGCTAAAATTCGAAAAGTTACAGCGTTTTTAAAAATCAAGATTTTGGCTGAAATTTTTTTTGAAAATTCCGCCACGGGCGTAAATATGCCCATTCAGGAAAACGAAAAAATACGGGTGGGCTTATTTCTGGGCCTGAACAATTTAAAATTACTCCCGTCCACATTGGCGATAACCACCTGACACCTCTCCATTGTCAGTTTAAACAAAATTATAAGTTTTGTATTGTATTGCTTTATTTCACCACTCTTTCGGGCCAAGCGGCCCATAGAGTACGACAAGAAAATTTTACATCATTTAACAGTAAAACGGTTACATCAAACTTCAATTTTTCGAAAACAACAGATATTACGAACTTGGATTCATGGAAATGACTAACCAATTCGACAGGTTTTAGCATTCTGTTCAAGTTACATAGCAAGATGATTACCAGTACAGTTTACATGACAAGTTTCATACAGTAAACGAAATTATAAAGGAATCCATGAGAGAGAATTTCCATTTTGACCGTGACATTTTCTCGCGAGGGAGAAAATACAGATTCTGGCTTACGAATTCTATCATAATTTCGTTTTAAAATGCGTGGGCATGAACTGGTTTCCTCGGATTTTGACGGGACCAATTTTAAATTGCTCACTAGAGGTGAGCTGGATATCAATTTTTTTGGATAATGCATGGCCCGATCCAATCCAACTGGATTTGGATGGATTGGATCTGAAAAATTTTGGGCCAAATGGATTTGGATGAATTGGATAAATTTCGTCACCATAAAGAATATCAGGAAGTGTTCTTTTTAACACTCCGATCTCATCCTAACACTAAATGGCCCATACTTTTGTTGCATGTCACACACTGTGACACATATACAGTCCAATCAGATTTATCCCGAACACTAACCATGAATTTACATATATAATTCTTTGGATAATCCATGCCCTGATCCGATCAAACTGGATTTGGATGGATTGGATCTGAAATTTTTTGGGCCAAATGGATTTGGATGGATTGGATCTGAAATTTTTTGGGCCACATGGATTTGGATGGATTGGATCTGAAATTTTTTGGGCCAAATGGATTTGGGTAGATTGGATCTGAAATTTTTTAGGCCAAATGGATTTGGATGGATTGGATCCGAAATTTTTTGGGTGAAATGGATTTGGATGGATTGGATCCGAAATTTTTTGGGTGAAATGGATTTGGACGGATTGGATCTCAAAAAATGACGATCCAGCTCACCTCTATTGCCCACACAAGGAAATAAGCTGACTTCATTTTCAGCCAAATTTGGATTTTTCAAAGTGATGAAACTTTTTAAATTTTGACCCTATTTAAAAAATGAAATAACATTTTTGCACAGAATTATATTGAGTTCAAAAAAATTCTACACTTAAAAAAACTTTGAGTTTTTCGGATTTTCTGGTCTGGAGCATATTTTAAAATCCCGAAATTGTATACAAACTTTGAACGTTAAAAGTTTTTGGAAAGACAGTTTTTGTAAATTTATGGAAGTAATTTTGAGCAACTACGTTCTTTCACTTTTAAAATAGCGTTAAAAATTCAAGCTTAACAACTTTGAAAAATCCTGAATGAGCTGAAAATGTATTGAAAAATTCTGTCACACCCGAAAACACGAACATTCAGGAAAACGAAAATTACGGGTCGGGTAGTTTCAATGTGTGAGTAATTTAAAGGTGGTCGCGTCAAAATCCGAGGAAACCGGTTTATGCCCACGCATTTTAAAACGAAATTATTTATGATGGAATTCGTAAGCCAGAATCTGTATTTTTCTCCCTCGCGAGAAAATGTCACGGTCAAAATGGAAATTGTCTCTCACGGATTCCTTTATAATTTCGTTTAAACTGAGCATTATGAAAAATCCTGAAACACGTTTTCTATTAAGTACTTGTCTGAAGTTCCATAATTATCGTGGTTTTGTTAAAATCGGAGTTAGACCGCTGGCGTCATCGAATTGATAGTCTGACTGCTTCAGGCCCAAATGCTGACAATTATTTATTTTTTATTCTTACCGCTTGGTACAATTCTAAAAGTATTTTCAGCTAAACCGTTGGCTTTTCACCATACTGTATGTTTTTGAATATGTACCTGAATTCAAGAAATAATACAATAAGTGTTCTAAGAACTAAAAGGAATTGAGTTTTGGGACCTGCATCTTCGCCAATTCCAAATGAGTCTGGCACTTTTTCAAATTTTTAAAATGGATAGAAAAGTATTTAATCGCGAAGGGTTTGGGAAGCGTTGGGAAGTAGCGAAAAGTATGTCATATTCGAATATTTGTGCAACTTAGGTTCATGTAATTGATTTTTCTCCGTCCCGCCGATGTTTTCAAAAATATGGCTGAGTTAAAAGCGCAAGTAAATGTCACCATTTTCCCATGAAAAATAATGTGCTCTGAATACTCGTAGAATATTATCTGCTTCGTTCCATAATGCCCTAGTATTCTGGAGCGAAAACGATAACATAGTATCGAAAATATTGAACTTATGAAAGGGCCCGGCACTTAAGCTCATACCAGGCCTGACAATTTCGCGGTACGGCTCTGTCGTTGAAAGTAACAACCATTTCTGTCCATTTGTGTTAGTTAAACATGATTAAATTAGTAATAAATATTTTAATAAATATGTCGTAATTTTTATACAATTTATATCTGCACGCTGTGAAACATGCGCTACTTTAACCAATACATATTTGCATGTGTATGTTGTAAGGAGACTATTAACCCCATTTATTTATTCGAGATACATACTGATTCAAACGCAATTGTTTATTATGTCATATTCCCAGTAAAAAATAGGGTGACAAATTCATACAGACGTGTTTCGCGAAAGCAGGCACACACAGAAAAAACATTTTTAGCAAAATGTGTTACTAAATTTATACAAATATGTATGTACACACAGAGGCTGAGGGGCATGCCAGTCTGGAAAATTATTAGGTAATCAAATCATCTGCATAATTCATGTAATTCATGTACCGCATTTATTAAGGACTACCTACAACACTAGACCTGTCACTAGCAGTTGTGGAAGAGGCAAAAGCAGATAAAAGCATAACTTTTCGAAAAATCTTAACACCTACATATAAGCTTAAATTAGTTTCAAGAATGAAGTGTTTTGCCGTGAGAGTCATAATTGTAATTTCAATAGTTTTCGCAACTTATGCAGCCGTGGGGACGCGTCAGTATGGGGAAAATTGTGTGAACAGTCTCATAGCCGGGTTGGGTTTTGGGGTGAGGATTTTTTGGCAAATGTGTATTTTTATACGTACAGTAATTAATCATTGGCTAATTGTGTCAAACAGAAGGAAAGTGAGACATGCAATTGGGACAACAATTTGGTCTGTCTGGGGTCCAAGTGTGCCTGTAATCCGGCCGGATTTGTGTATCAGAACGGTAAGTAAATATGAAGATATTTTTTATTACCGGATTTGTTTTGCACTCTTAGAAATCCGGCATTAAAATAATACCAAGCGGTATTCGTTTATGACTCTAGGCGGTATACCGGGATGCCCAGCATTAAAGTTTAGTTTTACTATGTCGGTTATAAAATTCTACGGCTCGGTGTAATTTTAATACCGAGCGGTGGCAACTTTAAGGCTGGGAAAGTAATAACTGCGTAATTCCAGGTTTCTAACAATGTAGTTTTTGCACGCCTAATGTCATTTTCAAAAATTTTGCACTGAAATTAAATAATTACCTCATGTGTCTTATGTATCCTGTTTTAAAAATAACTAATTTACAATTATTACCAATTAATAGAAAATGCTAAATTATTCCCAATTTAATAAGTATTAGCCCTGATAATTTTCTAATTTGCAGGACTTCTCGGCGTCGACGTGCTCGGTGGGGGTTGCCGACTTCGTGCAAATTTTCCCTGTTCTTTCTCTAAAACGGCGTGTGTCGTAAATTCAAAGTGCAACACGGTCTGCCTTTGTGACACTGGGTATCAGATGGACAGATTTGGAAAGTGCGTGTCTGCCGGTGGGGACGGGATAGATATCAATATTAATGTTCTCAGCGGAAGTAAAGTTTAATAAAAATTAGTAAATTTTTTTTAAAGTTTCAATCGTCTTTTTATCTTTGAAAATTAGTAGGAATTAACTCGTAAGCTCGGTAATTATGGCAAGCTTTACTTCGTTTTTCACTTTTGTTATCGAATTATGCAAATTTTAATAAGTGAATTTTTAAAACAAATTTGAACTGAAAGTTATTATTTGTAACAATTTTGACCAAGTAATTTTGAAACCGTGGAAATGTGGCTATTTAAACATCAAACTGTACAATTTAGTAATAATTTAGATAATAATTTTACCGTAAATATAAACAAGAGTACTAAAATTGACGATATTTTAAAATACAAGTAATTGAACCCCCTAATGAGTAAATACCACCAAAACAATTATTCAATTATCAATAGTGATACTAATTGGCAAATTATGCTCCCGAATAAACGCCTGAAAATTGTCCTTCGTCTCCTCCTCCATCTGCGCAAATTTAATAATAAAACCTATCAGTACAGCTTTGCTTAGCCCGAACCAGGGTTGATTAGTAAGCTCATGTTTGTCAGAATTTTCAATTATAAAATTTCAAAATTCGACCCTCCTAAACTCTAATCCTAAGTTTTTTATCCAGTCCACGCTAAATTTTAGCTAAATATATGAACTCTTAGAAATCGGTGTGGGTACCCCTTAGTGCCCCTCTGGTTACTTTTTGTTCATCTTTGACTTCGTATAATTTCATGAGTAGCTATGAAGTATCACCGTTCCGAATTTCTACTTCTTGGAACAAGCTATGAAAATCGGTATGGGTCACCCCGACGGGTCCCGGATATGAAAATTTTACAAATTTGACTTCATAATCTTCCATTAGGGGCCTTTAGCAGCCTCTATACCAAATTTCAGCTCGATTAGATGATTTTGAAAAATCGGTATGGGTCACCCCCTCGGGTACCTCCGGTTGAAAAATTTTCCAATTTCTATTCATATTCTTTCATTAGAAGCCATTAGCAACCTCTCTGCCAAATTTCAGCTTTCTACGACAATTTTGAAACTTTGGTGCTTAATACCCCACCCACTCCGATGACCCCCACCGGTCCAAAACTTTTCTGATCGAACCCATCTTCGAACTCGGTCGTTGCATTGCCCAGATACATGTCTGTACCAAATTTGGTCTAAATCGATCAACTCGTTCGAGAGTTATCGAAAGACAGACGGACGGACAGACGGACGGACATGACGATTACATAAGCCCTGCTTCGGGCTAACAATTCATATAATTTTTGCATTTTTTAACCCTAAAGTATAAAATGAATGAATGTAAATGAATATAAATGTACCAAAAATCCAGTAAAATCCATGCTTCGAATCGTCCTACATGACAGAAGGGCATCTCGCATCTCGTCCAACAGTCTAAGCTCTGGGCGGTGGGGGAGAGGACCAGCGATGAATTTAAGCGACATGTTCGTCAAACCTAATAATTAATTTAATTAGAGGCATGACATTTCTTAACTGTTCATCAAGTATTATGATAACTGTGTGAAATGATAACCTCTCCATCCCGCCATTCCTCCCAATACAGCAATGACCAATTGAGCGCTACTTATCTCGCTCACTACTCCACACCAAATCGCAAACTCGACCTTCCCGCATGTCAGGTCCCAGTCGCTGAAGGAGTGCATCATTTCCCTCAAAGCCAAGAAATATTGGTCCGAATCCCCGACCTTTCGAAGCCCCAACGCCAAGTTCAATTGCTTCACGGCCGGGAAGAGATCGGCTAGCCTTTCAGCAGCTTGTCCAGCCCTGTCGGGATAATAATCGCACCATACGTCGAGCGACGTTATCCCTTTATGACGCAAATAGTAGTGTTTAATCAGTGCAGAAATGTCACACTGCAAGATATTCGTATGGATGTTCGAGATGGAGAAATGCGTCAATTTTGGGAGCTTTGTGATGTTTAACGAGTCGTTAATGATACGCCCATCGGGAGCATTAAGCATGAGGTGGGTGAGCTTCGGGAGGTTCAAGTCCAGCTAACAGTACAGTAAAAAATTAATTAAACTTAAATAACACTAAAAAGAGTTGTAGTTTTACCTCAGTCGGGTTAATATCATTCCCAATAAGATCTAGGATCAAACTTTCCAAGGAAATTCGACAACTTTCTATCATTTTCATCATCTCAGAGAGTTTGAACTGAAAACGACCCGTAGAATAATATATGACCCTCAACTTTTTGAGTTTTCTGCATCCCGTCAAGTCACAGAATGTAGTTGCGTCAAGGTCGAAGTCTTCCAAGTTGGGGGCCGCGTTGACCAGATTTTGGCAAAAGGTTGACATCAAGGACTTTGCCACGTTTTTCTCACAGCCGGGCGAGATATTTAAGTGGAACACTTTCAGATTGGGGAGGAGTCGAAATTGAGTCATTTCCGGTGGCGGTGCTCTCTTATCGAGATGTGGTCCCATGGCGATGATCGAGATGCGAGTCAAGTGCGGGAAATGATAAGTGCTCCAAAGTTTCTGCAGGGGTTCAAGCGTATCGACACGATAGAAGTCCAGTGTTTCCAACTTGTCAGAAATCTCGGGTAAAATCATGACAAATTTGGTGGGCAGATTGGTCAAAGTTTCAGGACAGGTGCAACTATCGTCCAAGCCACATGACAGGTTTGTGTCGAAATATATGTGCATGTTCTTGGCTAAGTCGTGATTGAATGAGGTCAACTCTGCAGGATTTGTGCGGGGTGTCGAAAACCTAAGGCGACCCTGTTTCCCGAGAATTGTGGTGCCCACGTCGGTCCAAACGGTGCAAACGAGGCGAATTGACTTTAAAGTGAGGGTATCCAAGAAGCCGAAGACGTTTTCCAGGATCTGAAACAATATATATTTGCACAAATTAATTAAATATGTTCGAAGTTGACTTTATTTTGCAAAAGTTGAATGAAATGGGAGACATTGCACATTGCAAAATGAACACAAAAAGTTGGATAAATTATGAAGTAAGTAATTAAATACCAGAGGATTGAGCAAAACCTTCATCGCCACTTCATTAACCTCGGTGACAAAATCACAATTCTCCAATTGTGCGGCCGCTTGGTCAATCTCGGCCTTCATGGCGGCGGACATCCTGTCGGTGCCAGCCTGACGAACCAAATACGATAAATCATTAGTTACAAGCTGTCAGAGGTTTTTAATTAGAATTAAATATTGCAAAACCAAAAGAATCATTCAGAATAAGGTCGGACCTTATTAATTTCCCTCCGCAAATCACGAGCAGATCCTGAGCCGAAAATGCTTTGACGAGAAGCGAAACGAGTTTCAAAATTGGTAATTAATTTGTTCAATTAAAACTAAATTAAAACAAAATGTGCGGCAGGCTGTCAGCTTTCTGAATAACTTACAACTTGAGATACAAGTCTCACAGTTCCCCTAATAAAGTGAGGCGAGGTCAATTTGTCAACGTTGGATGTTTACTCGTCACAGGTTCAGAGCGACGGGACTCGAACTTTTAATTTCTGAGGAGTCAAATTAAGAAATTTAAATATAATACTTCCTCCTATTAACTAATCAAACTAAAAGGTGAGACAATTTTATCAAAATATCAGACCAGGTTACAGGTCGCTTAAACAGTTATAAATATCTAACACCTCACCAGACTACATTATGTAAAGTCGGGAAACTAATTTCGTTAATTGAATAATTACAAATTAATTTATGATGTCACTTCTTATCAAATCAACTCAGAATTCTCTTTAACTTTTAACTGACTGATATGACTTAAAAAGTCGTCATAATTAATACAACTTTTTGTAAAGTTTAAACTTAAAGCTAAAATACAGTCTGGAAGTTTTGCAAAGTTCCTCCCTATAGAGAGGAAGAAAAGTTCCTCTCTATACGGAGGATATATCTCTATAGGGAGGAAGGTACATCTTCCTCCGTATAGAGAGGAACTTTTCTTCCTCTCTATAGGGAGGAACTTTGCAAAACTCCCAGACTGAAATAATTTTCGCAAAATATTAATTTGTTCGTAAATTTTGCAGCTTGACACGATGCAGGTTGAGAGTGACTTATCAACCCAACAAATGGACGACAAGGATGTCGCTACCAGTGTGGTAATGAATCCTTTGTTAACAACTTATTTATTATTAAACCGTTTTTCCAATTTCAAAGACAATTTTTACAATGAAAAATAGTAATGTGTTCCATAATTTTGCAGGGTGACACAATGCAAGTTATTGACAGTCACTTATCGATCCCACTAATTGATGACATACTGGATGCGGTAATGATAATGAATCTAGTTTATAAACTTTGGTCACAATTTGACACTATACGCCCCTCTTATCATCTTATTGTAAATTAGTGTTCATCTCTCATCTCACGGTTAGATAAGAGACAGTGACGAAATCTTGTGCCTTTTAACACATTACAAATTTAACACAGTACATTTCAAACACAGTACATTTCAAACACACTATGTACTTTTTTAATTCTACTGAATGTTTACTACTACACACGGTGCTCGGGGGATTTTTGGATTAAGACAGATTTCAAACGACTTACTGGAACGGACCTGTCCTGGTCATGACGACTTTCTAGTCTCTTCCCAGTCTCTTCCTTTGGATAAAAAAGTCTTGCCTCTTTGAGGGCCAAATCTCGAGCATTCGAGATTTTACGAGGTCTATTTTTCCAATTTTCATCATTGTATTATTCTTTATTAATGGAATAATGCCTGTGCAGACACGGCGACAAAAACGACTCATCACTGATAGTGGAGCACCTGACAATTCCATTCACTTCTCAGGGAATCTTGCTCTTCAACAACTCCCATTTACTGGTCTTTCGACACAAAATGAAGACACATTATCACTACAAGACGACGACGACTCAAGACTTTCACATTCGTCGCTCCATCGTCTGGATCGTTTTCAACTTCAACTTCCGGATCGTCCTCAACTTGCTAAATTAAGTAAATCTAAAGGTCTAAAATTTTGCCATCAGAATCTAAATAGTTTGAATAACAAATTTGATGGTGTGGTCAGTTTTTTGTCACATTGTAACCCAGATTTGTACGGAATCACAGAATCAAAACTGAAACCTAGTAGGAATAAGGATGGTATGTATGTCATTGATGGTTATAATTTTATAAGATCAGATCGTACTTACAATGAAGGCGGAGGTATTATTATCTACATTAAGTCAAGTCTAATGTTTGAACAGATTGATTGTCCAATTAAGCCTTATCATAATTCGGAATTTCAAGTAATCAAAATAGGATTGAAAAGTACAAAACCAATTTTAGTAACAATCCTCTATAGCCACCCTTCCACACCACTTAATAAGTTAGTTGATTTCTTTCGTGAACTTAATACTTTTCTTTTATCCTTTGACACTGAATATTATATTTTAGGAGATTTTAATGTTGACTTATTAAAATACAAAGAGTCTTCTCCACTTTTTAATGTTTGTAGAGAATTTCGTTTGAGTCAACATATAGGACCCACTCGTAAAGGGAAAACTTTGCTGGATCACATTTATTCCAGTAATAAAATTAATGTTAGTTTAACTGGTCACTTTCCATTAACCAGTTCTGATCATGACTTGACATTTATAGTAAGGAAATGTAATTCAATCAAATTCCAGACTAAAATTGTAGAATATAGATGTTATAGAAACTGTGATTTCACGCTTTTCAATGAGGAACTTTCAAAATTTACATTCGATACAGAATCAGATCCTGATCACGAATTCTATAGATATAACAGTTTCTTTATGTCGTTACTGGACGTACATGCTCCCCTAAAGAAAAGGCAGATTAGACCGAAGATAAACAAATGGTATACATCTAATTTAGCTTCCTTGCGTAAAAACAGGGACATGTTAAGAGTCCGTGCAGATAAGACTCAATTACCCTCAGATAATGTAATTTATACTAAAGCTAGAAACAAATATAATACCTGTTTATCAAACGCGAAAAAACATTATTTTAAGAAATCTTTTGTAGAGTCCATCAGTAATACAAGTAATTTGTGGCAAAATGTAAACCTTCTTTCAGGTTATCGTAAATGTAATAGAACCCCAATCACAAGACTAAATGACACTGTAACAAATGAGTTATATGACACAGAACTCACAATTAATGATTCATTAGCCTCGCAATTTGTAATTAGCAATGATAATTTAATACCAATTGATTCTTTAACAGACAGTATCACAAAATACGAAATAGAGTACCCATCATTTGACTCGGCTGAAGAATTTCAATTAATCACGGTGGAAGAAGTCAACACTGCAGTTAATGATGTAAAAAAAGACTGTTCATCTTTACTGTATGTACCACTTGTTTTGTTGAAGCGATGTATAGATATTGTGGCTTTTCAACTAGCAATTTTGTTTAATCTAATATTAGTTAATTGTGTAGTTCCGCAGCCTTTTAAGATCACAAATGTAACCCCATTGTTTAAGGGGAAAGGATCAAGATTTAATCCGACAAATTATAGACCGATTAGTGGTATTATTGTTTACTGCAAAATATTTGAACGGGTATTATACCATAGATTACAAACTAGAATAGATGTAAAATTATGTAATGAACAGCATGGTTTTAGGAATAATCGGTCTTGTCACACTGCAATAGTTGAATTATCCAATTATATTTATAAAGCCTTGGACCAGACGAAAGGCAAATGTGTAGTTGTATATTTTGATGCAAAGTCAGCGTTCAATAGTATAGATCGATCCTTACTAATTAAAAAACTAATGGATCAGTATAAGTTACACCCTATTTATGTTAAAACTTTGAATAATTACTTGACGAATACGTTATTTAATATTAACAATGGGGGCAAATTATCAACTAATTATTATTGTAATGAGTCAGGCCTGAATCAAGGGGGGTCGATTTGTCCAATGCTTTACGGAGCTTATCAGGACGATATATCAAAAATTATCACTGTTCCCTTCTTGCTTTATGCCGATGATTTGTGTGTGTATGTATCAGGTAATAATTTGGAGGAAATATTTGGTATATTGAAAGCTCAGATCAAACTAATACAGCAATGGTATATTGAAAATAACATGGTCATTAATTACACAAAAACCAAATATCAAATATTTCACAAACCGAATGATAAAATCCCAGAAGAGTATGTACACGTACCTTTGTTACTTGAAAATGGTTATGAAATTGAGCAAGTTTCCTCATTTAAGTATTTAGGTATTGAGCTTGATTCCACGCTAAGTTTCAAGGATCACTTTGAACAAGTCCAAAAAAAGGTTTCTAGTAGTATTGGGTTTTTGTATGGTATAAAACGTTATTTAACAGATAAGGTTATGATTATATTACTTAATTGTTATGTCCATTCAATAATCGATTACGGTATAACTATATGGGCCACTCTCCCAGACTCGCAACTTGGTAGATTACAACGTAAAATAGATCAATATCTTGTAAACTTCTACCTTCCAATAATTGCCAAAAACAGCGTGCGCGAAAGGCAAGTAGATATAAAGAGCTAAGAAATAAGATAGATATTGTCCAACTAAGAGAAAAGTGTGGTATTCTCCCAATATTAGAACGTGAAGATTTATATTTACTTAAATATGCTTTTAAATTTCTGAGAGAAAGTGAGAGTTCTTCGAGGTCACAGCGTAGTTTCCCACTCCTTAAGTGCCAAGTGTTCGCACTTCTATAGCAAAAAATTCAATTAATTTTTGTGCCATAAAATTATGGAACTCTCTCCCACGTAACTGGGAAAGTAATTTAACTTTTCCTAAATTCGTACAGCAGTGTAAAGAATTGCTTTTGTCAAGAAACAAGAATTGTTACACTTATTATTAATTTATAGATAATTAGACTAGTGCTTTTAAATTATAGCATTTCTGTCATGAATTGGAAACCAGCTTATATTAGCTGATATTTGTTGACAGTTGAATAAAGGTTTACAATACAATACAATACAATCCTTTGTTAAAAGCAAATTAAACCGTTTTTCAACCTTCCAAGCCTTGGAATCAAAGGAAATTTTCACAATGAAAAATGGTAATTTATTCCCAAATTTTACAGGACGATACGACGCAAGGTGAGAGTGGTGACTTACAAATTGACGAAACGAATGTCGCCACCAGTGCGCTAATGAATCCTTTGGTAAAAAATAAGTTAAATATTTATCATTAAACCGTTTTTAAAACTTAAAAAGACAATTTTCGGAATCAAATATATTTTCTTGTGCAGCTGTTGAACTTAATCTTTTCCTACATGGACGCCCGCAGGCTGAAGAAATCCGTGCGCCCGGTTTGCACCCTGTGGGCCGATCTAGGCGCCCCCTTTCTCGGGAAAAAGACCAAGTTGACGTTCTCGGAACACACGACATGCGACACATGGCGCAAGTTACACTCTTAAAAATGATCATACCCTTTTGAAAAGTAAATTAATGCACTCTACAAGTTCTATATTAAGTAAACCATGGTAAATCAAGAATTTTTAAGGTGAATCAAGTATTTATAAATGCGCCTTTCCTTCAGGTCAATGTCGAATACTCATTTTTACCCGAGCTGCACAAAATGTGGACATCAACATCACACCGTTTCACGAACCTGTCCAAAATTTCAATCATCGGTTTGTCCATGACTGAGGATAATGCAGGCGCGATTCTGACCGAGTCGTACCCGACGATGGCGAGAATGTGAAGATGATCTCCATGAAAATGGCAAACCACTACAATCCGGTGCAGGATATGATGGCAGCCGCCATATGTCAAAAACTGTTCGAGTCTACCCCCAACCTGCAAGAGGTGGAGGTGCAGGCCCGTTTTTATCTGGATTTCGCCCCCTCCAAGAAACTGGCCAAGCTGAACTACATGTTTGTCCAAGTCTTCGACTGGGACGCAGAGGAGAACCCCAGGTTCATGGAAATGGACAAAATGGTGAAGATGTTGGAGTCCTGTCGGGAATCCGTGACCGAATTGAGTCTCTCCCTCGTGGGAGACGACGTTGACGACGAAGAGGTCTTTGACGACATCCCGCAGGTATGTACATATGGCGGAAAGATATGGAGTTATTTTAGCAGCGGCGGATTTTAAATATTTACAACAAAAACAGCAAGAACATTCATTAGATAGACAGACAAAGCACTCTTAAAAATAATATGGTTGCCCTTTTTGCAAAGTAAATGTGGTCTCAATTCCAGAGGCTAAGTGAGCCAGGCCCGGCCCTGGGCATAAAAAATTCCGATCAGAGCTACACGCCGCCGATTTTCGCTAGTGCGTCAAAGACGCCGACCCGATTTTTCGTGCGACCAACACCGGGTAAAATCGTTGGGGCGGTCCCGGCGCAAATTTCTCGGCACGCGGCCGGGGAAAATTTGTTTCATATAAACGATACGAATTGGGTTTGTACCCTCGATTTCGATGGTTTGTTGGAATTTTACTGTCGAGTTGAAGTAAAATACAGAAGGGAGGGCGTCTCCTTGATAACGAATTTGACCATTAATATCTTTGGCACTAATAGAAATTTTGAACTGAAATTTTTACTATTTGTTCACCTAATACTGAACATTATTGGTGCAAAATTTCAATTCGCTAGTGCAAATCGAACCAGAGATATATGCATACGAAATAATGTTTCTGTCCCAAAGCGTTTCCAAAACTAATTTTTTTTTAAATTTAGAACTAATTTAGAAATTTAGATTTAGACACTCTAGAATTGTGAATTGTTCATAGAATTTTATGTGGGTGTTATGAAAATTTTTGGCATCTATGTGTCTTTCATAAGCAACTCAAAATCTAAAATTGTGTCACCTGAAATCGAGTTTCTCAATCCATACCAGATGGATTTGTACAGAAAAGCGTGAGTAACGTATTTTTGTGTTAATGGAATTTCATCAATCACAATAGTTGAATTTTTTTCAAGTTTATTATTTTAGCGGTTGAAGGAGACATTTCTGATGGTAATGCAAACAGATTTTGGACTACAAATATTTCATTTCGCGTTATGGAGTTAGTTGGGAAAAATTAGCCACATTTTGACAGTTTGGGGGTTGTTATAACTTTTACTCTGACACTCTACGCTGTTACGTTTTGATCGAAATTTAAACTGCATTGTGTACTACGGACATGGGGTCACATAATTCGCTATTTCCTGACACTTTTAGCTTACCAACAACTGCTCCATGTGCTTCGATCGGGTAATTTATGTCTGGAACAAGAAAAGCCATCCCTGTTTTACTTTGGGGCTAAATGAAGGTCTGCTTTTTAAACTAGAGAATTGAAATTTTGCACCTATAATACCAACTCCAGTGCCTATTAATTAACAAAATTTCAGGTTGAAATTGCTACCAGTGCCAAAGATATTAAAAATCAAAATCGTTATCAGGGAGACGCCCTATCCTCTGTATATCATTAAATATTTTTTAAAGCAACATCATCTTGATCAGATCAAATGGTAATGGATAATTTTACTGCACATAACAACGATTTCGTTTCTTTTAAAAATTATCCTCTCATGGGATGAAATTATGCATTCGTGCATAAACTGTGCCGAGACAAATTACGCAGACAAATGTCAAAAGTGCTAAAAATTGAAGTTTGACGGTTTATGTATTTATTTGTGGTTGAGAGGAAGAATATATTTCGCTGAGGCCAAAACAATTTTCATGTATACTTTTGCTGAGCATACCGTCGCGAAGTAAAAATGTAGGGGTTGTATTCCTCGGAGATTTTGATCGGACCGATTTTATATCAGAGCTCCACGCCGTTGAAAAGTCAGCGGCGGCGGCGTGAGTAGCGAAAACCGTCGGCGGCGGCGGCGCGCCGATATTTCTGCCTCAGTTTACCAGTCAGTGATCATACCTGACCTCTTTATTAGCTCACCCTGCCTAGCATGAGAGCTATTGAATTCCTCTTGTCCGTCTGTCCGTCTGTCTGTTGACGAGTTTTTTGCATCAATTGATGCTAGTTAATAAGCCCCAAGACCATTTTAACCCTAATTTGTAGCACAATTGGTATCCAAAAATCGTTAACGCAAAATGGTGCGAAATAATTGGAGGAATCGATGTATTCTAAACCAATGATTAGGATTAACTGAAAGTTCTAGTTAGCCTAGGCAGACATAACTTAACCTTGAAATCATGTCAAAATTTAGTCCCAATTTTAGCCATTTCGGCTGCACCATTGGTGCAATATTATATCAAATTTATTTTACATATTTCCCGTTTTTTCTGTACCATTGGTGCAAAATTATATAAAAATTATACATCTATTTTATCCGCTTATTTTGCACCTTTGATGCAAAATTATGTCCAACTAATTATACCAGGGTGAGCTACTTCTAACGTTACTACGGTTTATTTAGCTTTCTAATACATAGTAATGTATTTCGGTTGCTAATTTTAATTGGTTCAGCGAAAAGATAAGCCGACCCATTTTTTGATTCGTGTTAATTAGAGTTATCTGCACTACAGAATTTCAAAAATATTTCTCGACTAAACCCATCAGTAGGGTTGCCGCGGGTAACGGGTCGGGTACCCGTTACCCGCATACCCGCACGATTCTTGCGGGTACCCGTTACCTGCGGGTAGCGAGAACTACCCGCACGGGTAACGGGTAATTCAGTTTTTATTTAATTTTCGTCATAACTGAGGGTTCACAAAGAAAGTTAGCAGTAAGTTAGTCCATTTACCAACAAAAGCGTCAATTTATAATTTTTCTATGTCAAAATTTGCCATTTGCCAGTAACAAGCGTTTATAACGAGCGTGTCTTTACGGAAACCACGGAAACCTATGCCGGCCTCAAATACATTTCACGACCAGAAAATGCGGAGAAATTATTGTTTCTCAAGTATAATTTGCTTAAAATATCAGTAACAATTTGACTTGTATTTGTTTGTATTTATGTAAGAATGACGAGATTTTAATTTGTGCTTTGAAGATGAAAAACCTGAATCCGATTGAAAGAAAAAAATGTATATGTAGACAATTTTTTTAAATGAAAACTTCATTTCAATCAAAATTTGAAAAAATCAAACTAAAAATTGAACGTTTTTCAATCTATATGAATATTGCCCAGCGAGTATATCAAAAAGTCAGGCCAAAATTAGGAATCGTGTGATACTTATCTATCTTTCCGTTGAATGGCCCCTTCGAAGAAAAATATGGCGGCAACGTTTAATTTTGAAATGTTCTATCTTTTCCTCCACTGAACGAAAACCATGGTGAACTTTGAACTCTGTCCCCCAATAGTTTCCTTTCAACGGGTCATTCAACGTAGAAATAAGTCTCATGTACATTTGTAATTTCTATTTGGTGGCTTAATTTTTTGATATATATAAATCGGTATAGCTTGAAAAACGATCCAATGTATGAATGTAAGCCACAAATTTTGGTTTAAAAAATAACGAGTGATATCTACGAGTAATTTATGGCATGCGTAACCTGCATAGCATTTTCTCAAAGTACATATCAACGCAAATGAATAAATAATTGATCAAATCAAATTTATTCTGAAGTTTGGTTAGTTTTTAACCTAATTCTCATAACGGGCAGCGGGTAACGGGTACCCGCACGGGTACGGGTAGTTGTGCTGCGGGTAGCGGGTCGGGTAACGGGTAGCATTTTTGCTACCCGCGGCAACCCTACCCATCAGCCTTATGTAATAGCCATGTAATTCGATTCTTGACGGAAATTCGAAAATTTAAAAGTTTGCTTGATTTTACATAAAATGGAATGTTTGAAATCTTTGTAATTGTAAGTTTTAAAAAACCACAGGACTAATCACAATGTCAGATTCTCAAAAAACAGCAATTTCAAAAAGTCAGGCTATTTATGCACTCAATTTGTATTGCCCAAAATATCATACTTTAAATATACGTTATAGACTGTTTAAGTGGCGTCAAAATTTGAACTGATCTCTAATTAAAAATGCATTTCGGAAAAAAAACTATTCATTTTCTCAATGTCAATCACAATCACAAACGGAACCGTTAGAACCCAAATTTCGACATTTTTTCTCGTTTTAACTGGTTTTAATTGTAGGAAATATCTTTTTTCTCGGCCGCGCGCCGGCACTTATGCGGCGGCGGGGCGCCTCGGCGCGCCGATGAATTTCCTCGGCGGCGGTCGCGTGTCAAATCGGGTCGGCATCGGCGGCGCGCCGGCGAAAAATCGGCGGCGTGGAGCTCTGTTTTATATTACCACACGAAAATCAGCAAATCCGTTAATTTTTGTTAACAACCGAAGTTCACCGTGCAAAGGAATTTTTAAATTATTCAAACGTTCAGACATACCTTTCGCTTTCCTAAGTTCTTTTCGAAGCTTGATGAATTTAAAAAGACAGTTTCGTACACATATCAAATTTCATACCTGATAGTTGATACTCCAAGGAATTTATATGTTGCACATTGTTTGAAAATTGTAAATTAGGCTAATCCTAAGTCGTGGGATTTTTTTAAACCTAGAAACATGTAAAAACAAAAAAAAACCATTTTGAAAGTGCACATCTAAAAAATTTAGCCAGGAAATCTCAATTTAGCTAGAAAAATGCAGCTTCGTAATTTTTGAAGTTGCGCCAACATCGAAAATCCGAATTGTTTTGGTGGAGAAATGGTTCTAAAATTCTGTCACGCAGCAAAATTCTCCCATTGTCACCAGTTAAAAAATATGGGGCTGCTTATTGTGGTCATTGAACAAATTAAAAATGATCTGTTCAATATTTGAGTAACGGCTTAATATTTCATATCGCAAGGCTGAATAAATATAGTTGTTACAATTATTGACTGAGAATTAAGGGTAAAAATATCGGCTGCGGCCGATATTTCACCGACTTGGAGCTCTGATTCCGATTCATGTACCGGTTGCTGTACATGTGCTTTAACAAGCCTCAAGAATAATAAATAAACAAGAAAATTGTTAAATAAGTAAGAATGCCAAAATTGTGAAGTGGGCTGTTTTCCGAAAACTTCGTTTTTCGTGGAACTTGTAACCTAACAGGAATTCACAAAAACTAGATGTTGCCAAGCTATTAAAAGAAATTATAATTTTTTATGCAAATTTTTAAGTAAGCCCGAATGGCCCGGCCCCTTTGGGGCCCGGCCCTGGGGAAAGTACCCATCCCGCAGCTACTCACTTAGGCTCTGCTCAATTCTATTAAATAATAGAATTAATATTAAGTAAACTAAAACTATACCAAATCCGGAGTAACATTAACTTGATAAAGTGTTAAGATTGCTCTGGATTTAGTATAGTTCGCTTAATTTACCTTTGGAAAAAGTAACATTTTTCTTAATAGTGCTATTTTTCTTTGTTCGTTACTTACAACTCCATTTTTGTAATTTACGAATCAGCCATTTTTTGCAAAATTAAGGATACGTTTTAATTTGTATTTATTTATTTTAGACTTTATTCCTCCCATCCTTCACAAGTTTGACCCGGCTGTCAATCTTTTCCTTGAAAGCTTACCGGTGGGGTGACTGTCTGTCCGAGACGAACCTTCCGAATCTGACCCATGTCAAGCTTGCCGGTTGTATGCAGCAAGGTTTCATCCTGTCCGACATTTTTGCTCCTTTGCTGCAAACTCACGTCGGGATTACGTCGCTCGATCTGGAAGCCGTGTATGACGGAGATGAAGACAATGTCGGCATTGGGACCGACATCGTCCGTCTTTTCCCCTCCGTGAAAATGCTACAGCTAAAGCTGACCGTTTTGGAAGAAGTGGAAGACTACGAAGATGTCCACCTCCTGAAGCAAACGTTGCGCAACTTTGCGCCTTGGAAGCTGACCTGGGCGTTCGTGCAGGTGGCAAATGTGCGAACTTCGGGCGTCGTATTAGGCACGATGAAGGGTTTGAAGCGATGGAAAGGTAGAATAAGAGTGATTTAATTAATTCACTCTTAAAAATAATGTTACCCTTGAAAAGTGAATGGACTCTCTGAATCCTACATTAATCTTATCCATACTAAATCCAGAGTAAATTTAACTTGATAAAGAGTAAAGTTGACTCTAGATTTGTTCTAGTTTAGTCAGTACATTTACTGCAAAGACTGCATTTACTTTTCAAAAGGGTAACTTATTTTTTAAGAGTGCTAATGATTGATGGATTAGTAATTTGAGTAATTTTATTTGTTTAGGTTTGCCTCGAACCGGGGTTCGCTTTTTTGGTGCAGGTGGGCAACGTTTTGTTCTGGACGATACCGTGAAAAAGGTTCTTTTGGCGTCGAGGGAGGTTAGATGGATGGAAATTCGGGGAGTCTTGGTAGGCTTGATTAATTGATTTGACATTTAATTTTGCGATATTAAGTTTACTAATTTATGGTTTAAATATGTTTACATACTTATGTAGATGGAAAACATGGATGAATTTGAAGAATTCATTGACGAGAACGATCTCCGGATTAGTTTGGAGTAAATCCCTGTAGCAAATGCAACCGTTTCAAGGGTAGAACTCGCACCGGAGTTGCCATTTCGCCAGATGTTGAAGGTCCCTTGATTATACCTTGACATAAAAAATAACATTTAGAAAAAATCGAGTACAAAATTCGTGATAAACGTTTCAATTCGCCTAAGGGTGACCATATTTGTCCTGACTAAAACCAGGACATTTTTTACAAAATTTATTTTCCATAATATTAAGTGCTTGGCGAAAAAATTTTCCATAATATCTAGTTCATGGCGGTTCAGGGCCCTATTTCACCAGCGCTCCGCACTCCATACTCCACACAAAAGATTGTGGATTTGTGGAGTGGAGCGTTTCACAAAAGCAGTATTTTGTGAAGTACGGAGTGTAAATTCCGGAGTCAAATTTTGGGGATTGCGGAGTGAAATTTGAGCTTCCCCGTTTCACCAAATTTTACTCCACGAAAGGTCATCGCTCGAAACTCTGCACTCTACATATTTTTTTGCAAAGTGCTCTGACACTCTGCAATTGGCTTTTTAGCCCGAGTAAGGGCTTAGGTACCCGTCATGTAGAGTTTCTCAACGGGTTCGGGTCGTTATCGGGTTTCGGGTTTTTATCGGGTTCGGGTTCGGATTCGGATAAGGTTTTCTGTATCCGAACCTTATCGGGTTCGGATACGGATCACGCTTTCAGTATCCGATTGTTATCGGGTTCGGATTCGGATTTACCTTCGGATTATCCGAAAACCCGATTCAAAATTGAGCGATAAGATTTAAGTCCCAATAAGATTTTTAAACATTGCGAGTTGTTTAAAATAGGTTGTCGTTCAATTAATGGAACGTTCATAAAATATGTAACCAAACTTTCACCATTTCTGCGTCCTCCCTCTCCATTCCATGTACACATGACGGGATAGAAATTTTAACCTGGGAAAGATTGGTAACCTTATCTAATTCTATCTGCCTTTCTATCTTGGGTTACATATTTTATGACAGTTCAACAAATATTATGACAATAGTATATAATAATACCCATGAGTGATGGATAATACTACGGGAGTAAACAAAAGTTTATGCAGTAGAAGGCTGGTTTCTTTTTTGACAAAAAATAGAAGTTCTAAAATTGAAGCTCAAAGTTGTGATTTGTTATTACTAGTTCGAGCCATAGGTGGAAAACAAATTCATTAATTCACAAATGAGCTTATGAAATTATTTTATGCTTATCGGGTACTTATCGGGTTTCGGGTTCGGGTTCGGATAGAGCTTATCGGGTTCGGGTTCGGATTCGGATCGTTCCCCAAACAAATCGGATTATCGGGTTCGGGTACATATCGGATTCGGGTTGAAGGTATCGGGTTCGGGTTCGGATGAAGGATTTCGTACCCGTTGAGAAACACTACCGTCATGTCCGTCTGTCTGCCTTGCGATAACTGTCGTAGAACTAATCCGATCGACTTGAAATTTTGCACAAATGTAGAAAAGGGGCAAATGAGGAGTCAAGTTCGTAGATGGGCGAAATCGGTCAAGTGGTTGACTGGTGGGGGTCATCTGGGTGGGTGGGGTATTATGCACCAAAATTTCAAAATTATTGTAGAAAGCTGAAATTTGGTATAGAGATTGACAATGGTGTCTAATGAAAGAGTATAAAGTAAAATTTTAGTCTACAGGGACCCTAGGGGGTGATTCGTACCGATTTTTAAAACTCATTCAATCGAGCTGAAATTTGGTGTGGGGATTTCTACTGATAACTAATGAAAGACTATGATTGAAATTAGACATTTTTTACCTGGACGGACCCTATGGGGTGACCCATACCAATTTTTCAAATTCGCCAAATCGAGCTGAAATTTGTCACATAGGTTGCTAATTGCTACTCATGGAAGAATATGAATTTAAATTTGAAAAATCAATTTAAATTTTTAAATTTGAAAAATCAATTTAAATTCCTAAATTTTTTGACACACCTATCAGATAAAATTGCATGCAAAAAAGTCGACGTGATAACTCTTGGCCTGACTCGGGCTATATCAAGTCTGCACTGTAGATTTTTTGTGTATCGCTTTATGATTTGATATCAACTGTAAACTGTAAAGTGAAATATGAAGTGAAATATATCTATAATCCTATATTTTTTGTAATTACAAATAAATTAACTGACCATATTATCACTTGATTGGATGATCCGTGATCATCCTGTGATCATTGATCACAGGTATAGAACAATAAATTTATGAGGGTGTCAGTCGTTTGAGAAGAAGAGAATGAAACGTAGCATTGAGAAAATTAACAAGGTCTGAAATTTAGGCGAATGAACTCCGCGTTTTCACTCCGCAAACCTTCATTTTTGTGGAGCGAAAGTTTGCGGAGCAGGTCGCCACTGTGAAACGCTCCCACTCTGCACTCTACAAATTTTGTAAAGTGCGGAGTGCGGAATCTGGAGTGCAGAGTAGGGTGTGGTGAAATGGGGCCCAGATATCACCGAATTTTTAGAAAGAGCCTGGAAGGCAATTAAGTAAATACTTATTACATACACGTTGAAAAGGTTTTTTACGATCGTAAAAACCGGGATACTTTATCCAAACTGTGGCATTTTCGGGGACAGGCTTTAACGGGTTTTAAAAACTGGGACTTGAGAACCGGGACATGTCCCGGCTAAACCCGGACGTATGGTCACCCTAGGGCCACCCACGTTTGAACTAGGGTATTTACCTTTTATCCACCTTGTTCACCATGTACCATGGGTTGAATTCAAGATACGTCTGAAAAGCTTCGACTTGAGGGACAATATCTGTGGAATAGCTGTTCCCTGAAATCTCCCTCCCTACTCGAACAATGTCCTTGACAAAATCGCACATTCTCCCAAACTCTGGATAATCTTTCAGTAATTGGGGACTTTGTGCTGGAGTGTCCCCCTTAAGTATACTTAGGTAAGTTTCATGAAGTAGGCGAACGTTTTCAAAGTCGGGCGATTTCCCCATTTTCTCGAAACGGGTCCAATCTGTCTCCATGGAATCATCCAAAAACCACTGCCAGATGAAGAGACGAAAACCGAAATCCATCGCGGGGGAATCAAATTCGGCATTGGGCATCCAGTACACGATAAATTGTACCGCGGTGAGGACCATGGTTTTGATGGAATACCGTTCAAAATGGGCATCCTCGAAACCAAACTGGTTTGCAAGGTTGGTGTATTTCACAGCAATTTCGTCAATTTTGGCTGGATCGAGTTCTTCACGAGATAGGTTTGGCTGTATCCGTACGAAGCGTCCTTGCACCGATTTACTACCGAAGGATGGATGGAAAACGTTGGGAAATTCGAAGTCTACCTTGCCGTTTAGCTTAGTTGGGCGATACTTTGTTGGTTTCATTATAAGGAATTGATAAACCGGACCGGTATTCTTGTAGTGTTTCCAGATAAATGTGTAGGTTCGTATTGAGGAGGGGATAGGATCACAGCGATTCTTTTATACGTTTTCTAGCCTCCAGTTTGACAGGGATGACGTACATATTTCTTGGATTTTGAAGGCCACAGTATTACTGTGACAGTAACCTTGAGTTGGGTGGATTGATATTTTATTCATTTTCAATGAAGCCGCTTCACAGTTCTTTTTTGGTTAAATTAGTAACTTGCTTAACAATCTTTCATCAATCAGGTTGCATAAATACGTAATACACAACAAATATCTAGCAATTGTAAAATGTAGTTTTACTGAAATGTTATTTGCAATGTTATAAGAAATTATTTCCATATTTCCTCCTTTATCACGTCATCATTAAGTTTACTACTTTCCTTAAACAAATCATGCCTGCTAAATGCTGACGAAGTACCAAATAAATCTTCCCAGATTTCCCGGATGTGTAACTTAACTGGTTTCTAAAGTTCATAATGCTCGGACTTGGAATCAGGCCCCAAATGAATTGTTGTTTCGCGTCGGAGTAGAGGATAAATCCTGTTATAGAATATTTCCATGTAATTAATTAGGCGAGATTCTGGTATTGTGATTGTGAATATTGGTAAGTTGAGAATATGCAAAAAAAAGATTAAATCAGAATTTTCATTTTATCCGCATCTGCACCTAAATATGTAAATGTATATAGGTTAGAAATCAAAAGTGCATATATTTATATGTATTAGAAATAGGAGGATGTCGGGTTTCATTTCCATTTCTCAGCGTCAGACTAAATCAAGTTTTGGATTTGGACGTTATTAGCTCACCCTGCGTAGCATGAGAGCTATTGAATTCCTCTTGTCCGTCCGTCCGTCCGTCCGTCTGTCCGTCTGTCCGTCTGTGTGTTCACGAGTTTTTTGCATCAATTGATGCTAATTAAAAATCCCCTTGACCATTATTGGATAAGTTCGGCGCACCATTGGTATCGAATAATCCGTGGCGTAAATGGTGCGAATTAATTGTGCAAGTACATCGAGATAGGACTGTAATTATGGAATAAGTACCGAGTAATTGGTTATTAAAAATGATGCGTAACAATTGGGCCCTTTATTTACCCCCAAAAATCAATGAGGCGTAACAATTGGACCATCTATTTCCCCCCAAAAATCTGTTCTATTTGTTCGATTTTTCTGCACCATTGACGCTAAAATATATAAATTTTATAATAAATAATTGGGAAAGGGATGCCATACGCACCAATGATGCAGAATGTCGGGATAAGGAACCATACAATTTTTTCAAAGTTTTCAAAATTATGTATCCCGTTGGTCGCTAATGTTCCACTAGTGGTGCAAACTATTTTCGTTTTTTTTTATTTTTCCGTTTATATTACACCATTGGTGCAATAATCTATGAGAGTTATAATCTATTTTGTCGCCTTATTCCGTACCTTTGGTGGAAAGTTATATGGAAATCATTATGACATGGTGAGCTACTTCTAACGTTACTACGGTTTATTAATCTTGAAAAGATGATGTCGCAGGAGACAAAACCGGCTTTTGGTATTGTCTTTTGGTATTGGCTTTTGTCAAGTTGGTTATATTTACAGAAGAGTAGCAATAATGAAAACCGGAATCTCTTGAGATTATCTCTAGGGCCACAAAAAAATTGACTTTGTTAATATTTGCATAGT